ATATATATATATATATATATATATATATATATATGAACATTATGTACCAAAAATAATGAGTATATAGCTAAAAGTGATGAAAATGACGGCAATAATAACGATAAGGAAATTGACAAGCATAATAATAATAATAATAATAATAATAATAAGGAATAGAGCTCACATATTTCGAAGAGCTTTATCTATGTAAATGTGTTTGATCTTCGTTTCTCTTTGTTTTGATTTGTGCAAAAGTGAGCACTGGATTAAATCTCTTTATGGTCTTAGGTCTCTGGCTGGGACCCAGAAGGCAATGTGTATACAATAGAAATCTAAGGAAATAATAATAATAATAATAATAATAATAAGAAGAAGAAGAAGAAGAAGAAGAAGAAGAAGAAGAAGAAGAAGGAGTAGGAGGAGGAGGAGGAGGTGGTGGTGGAGGAGGAGAAGAAGAAGAAGAAGATTATGGAATGATGACGATGGCGATGATGATGTACATTCAATGCTGATATTGTTGCTATTATATTGGCTCATAAATGTAGACGTTATAAGGGATAGAAATCTTTCGAAGATTAGACTGTAAAATAAATAGTCTGGGACTAAAACTTCGAAACTGATTGAGGTATTGAACATCGAAGACAAGATATCGTCGTTCCCAATACAACTGTAAGTGAATGCCAAATAATAGATATGGTCATTCCTGATGACTACAGTATACAAGCAATGCAAATAGAAAAGAACAGAAACCACTCTCACATGAAAGTTTAAATTCGTAGATTGTATAAAATATCGATGAAAAATGTTAAAGCCAGGCTGATAGTGGTTAGGGCACCCGTATAAGGTTTATATAATATGCTGACCAACTTCATGCAAAATACGCATTGCGATAGCTACAAAAATGAACTTCCAGAGCATTCTTCAAAAGGTACTGTCTGCTTTTGGTCCTTTAGTTTACTTGACTGGCAGAATCTTCCGTGTTATTCAAGAAATCCACGCAACAACCTTAACATGATACCTGCAGATGATAGTAATGATAGAAATAGTAGTAATAAAAGAAACACTTGTAACAATCGCAAATGGACTAGCAATGTGAATTGAAGATCTAAAAATCCAGATTAGAATCGAAAAGTCTTGAACATATGTACGACTAATATCAGCTACAATAATATACAGAATCATAGATTACTGAAGTATTATTTGTAGTTAACCTTCACTGAACCCCAACAGTTAATACTGATACAAAACGCAGAGTAGAGATATTACTACTACTGCTGCTGCTGCTGCTGCTACTACTACTACTACTAATAATAATAATAATAATAATAACAATAATAATAATAATAATAATCTACAAAAATCGGATTGGAAGCCTACCTCACAAAAACCTATGACCCTCTCCTACAAATATTAAAACACAAATTCACCGCATCAGCAAAGAAGCTGTACTCTTCAAGAAACAGGTTAATATACCTGAAATTCTACCGACAAAAAGCGAAGCGAATACCATTTATGCCAAACGAGTAAAACAGAAAGCAAAACAACTAGGTTAAGTGAAAATAAATTTTTAAGAAAATGTACTGGGAGGCCAAGGAGTTGCATGGCGTATACCTAAAAAGAACAAAAGAAGCAGATTCGACGAACAGAAAGCACGTCAGTAGCTGAGGATCACTGGGTTGAAAGGTGAAGCCTAATTATTGCAGCACAGAACCAAAGCCACGCAACCAGATCCTAGCACTGTCACATGTCAAGGATGGAACTAACCCGAAATGCAGGATTTGCGGAAAATAATAAAAACTGTTGACCATATTACCTCAGAATGCCGGAAATTAGCAAAAAATAAAAATTCCCACATACATAACAAGGTAGCCACTGGAATATATGCCCGAAGAAAAAATATGAGATGGTATGAAAACTAACCAGACAGAATTATCCAAAATAACGATGTAATTATCCTCTGGGACATGCCAATCCAAACTGACAGGAAAATGAACGTCAACGGATCTGATATTATCATAAATGACAATGACATTCAGAAAGTGTATGCTTATTGACATAGCATTACCATCTGAGAGAAACACCTCCATAAAAATTATCGAGAAATTATCCAATTACATTGGCCTGGAGATCGAAATTAACAGGAGGTAAAGAATGAATACTAAGACTTATATCAGTAAAATCATTATTATTTTTCGGAAATAAAAGGAATGGATACTTTTATTAACAATGTCCCAGATAGTGAATTTTCTAAGCCAGGATTAGATGTCGGAATTAGGGAATTTAAACAGTTTTTCATCAACCAGTGAGGATCGAACTCACCATAAAAGTCGTAATTAATCTAGCAAGAACATGCCTTTTGATTACTACACCACGTCGAAGTGCTTAAAATGATTTTCCAATACCTGATTGGATGTGGTTTTAGGCCGAAAACGTATCATATCCAGTGAGGATTTTTTCACTACTCATTCCCCAATTGTTCTAGCGAGATAAGGTTGCTAACCATTACACCACCTCGAGGTTGGAAACAGTGTCCCAGGTTGTCAAAATAAAAAGTTTCTCAGAAGATCGCCTTACTAGGAACCTCCTATACTACAGAATAGTGTCATCAATTAATTGACGATTCTACTATAGGGCCCAAGGATCATAGTTTGTAACTGGCGTTACATGATACACAACAGGATACATAAGATACACAATTAATAATAATAATAATAATAATAATAATAATAATAATAATAATAATAATAATGAAGATTTTTGTCTGAAAAGGAAAGGAACATAGCAAAATAGCTGGCGAAAATATTAAAACCAAGACAAAAAAATTTCTAAAAAGCCAAGAAATATATTGAGAAAGTTTTGTTTTTTAAAGTTTCTTTTCAAAATGTTAAAAATATTTTTTGTTAAATAGTAATATTGTCTTGGTGAATTAAGATAGCCTATAGAAAAAAATCACTTTCAGGAACATGCACCGTACATCGAGGTTTATGAGATGGAGAAAAAAAGGAAGCAATTTGCCCTTTACTTTTTTAAAGTTGGAAGGATGAGGTATCATAGACGTATCAGATCTTGCAAATGTGGTTACCCACTTAGGAGAATCTTGAAATGATTTTTTTTTTATTTAGCTGAATGTACTTCATGAAGAATTTCAAAAACAACATTATTTCTACGAACTGAAAAAGTTACTGAAAACTGTAAGATTGTTGTCCAATTACATAGGCAATCAGGGTTCTCCACAAATCCCTTTTCATTATTATTTGTAAATTGCCGTGACTTATTGGAAAAGATAGTGGAGTATTTCTTCTTCCTTTCTCCGCGGTTTTTCATGCAAAGTTTTAATTCCTATGGACAGGTTATCATGTACATCTAGAGAGCCCAGTTTATATTACAATTTAGCACATGGTTAGGATATGAAATGCATTCGCAAGAGCATTTCTGCGATGTGAAGTCAACGGAAATAGAAGTTGATTCGACGATTCAACTTGCCACGCCAATAACCGCTATGCTAGGCGCCCATCTACCCGCAGTTGTAGAAACGCAATGATTAAACAGAGAAGAGAAAATTACTAGGAAATTATATTAGATCATGGAACGAGCGATTGATAATAATTGACAAAGGCTTGCACTCAGGTAACGATGTTAATAGACTTTCTGTGAAAAGATGAGAAGAATGAAGAACGCTAGTTAGTTTTGAAGACAGCCTCGACTTGGATATCATAGGACTAATGGCTACATTAACCAGATTAATGGGATTTTGATTCAGACAGCAAGAAATTGCAGCAGATCAGAAAAGAGGACAAATATTTGATAAAATATCTTAAAATTAAAATAAGTCCCAGTACATCTCAGGAGACAAATACCGTTAACTAAAGTTAAAAAATATAGGCATGGTTGAGTGGAGTATAAGTGACAACAGAAGTTATATAATTATGAAACGTCTTGACAGATCTCAAGGAAATTGTAAATGTCGCCTTTACAGAAATAGTAATTTTAAATTATTTCTAACTCTATTGTATATCCAGCTACCGGATCAAAACTTTATGTTGATAAACTAATAAGCAATGATATGTGAGATTGAATGATTGGATTTTACAGAAAATCCTCAATGTTATCGTTCCTGACCTGGCGTTTCGGCTTGAGTCATTTTTTCGCACTAATGTAAACTAGATTCCCTATACCTTTCGTATAAACGTCCTGGATATGACGATAAACTACATTCAGGTTCTGGGTAAGTCGATAAACTATATTCAACAGCAAGACCTCTGATCAGGAGGTTTTGAGGAGCGTGGAGCCACCTCTTAATTGTTGGTGATCCCAGTTACACCATGATCCGAGGTGGTAGTAAGCTATATCCTATATATGTATAATAGTTAACACCCCCAAACGGGTCAAAAACATATATGAAAATATATATAAATAGATATTATATACCAGAAATACTTTTTTTCTTTGCTAAATATTACCAACAAAAGATTTGAAGGAAAAAAATATTACCAGCAACAAATCTTTTTTGGAATTAAATAGCCCATTGAAGTTGATATGCCGTAAAACAAAATAAAACATACTATCGCCATGAATCTATTTCAAAATATTGTTGGAATTAAATGACCCACTGAGGTTGATATGCTATAAAACAAAACAACAAACAAACCTTTCGTATAAATATTTCATGGTAGTTTTTTTCTCCTCAGTTTTCCTCTTTGGTATCTTGAATTTAAGCGCAGTACTAAATTGACTGTCAGGACTCAGAGATTTAAACCAGCAATACCATTGTACGTTCTATGCTATGTAAACATTTATTATCTCCCACTTCTCGCTTGTGCATCTCTCTTTCGGCTTCTTCCTTTCCAGTCAACTTTGATCATTAGAAATGTAAAGGAAACATAATTCGTTAACGCCTCTCTTCTTAATTTCTACTCTTTTATTGTCCTTTCTCTTTAATAATATATTCTCATATTCTCTCACATTCAGTAATCCCTTATGTCTTAGTGGTTTCATTGCCTTGCTTGAGGAGAAATGATTTTTTAAAAAAGTAGATAGATAGATAGATAGATAGATGGCGAGAATGATAGATTGTGTACAAACAAATCAAAACTGTGACTACATATGCTCTATCTCCTATATTAAACTTCCTTCGTTCAAGAATATAATTTTTTTCTATAGACAACACATTTCAGGTTCGTGAGTAAGAAATGTGCTTTATGGCTTCTTTTTTCATTTTAGAAAGGGTTATAAATAAATTTACCCGATCCAAATAACCGAATGTTGATATTTTCTTATTCATATTAAAACGGTTAAATTCTCTGGAATCGAGTAGATCGTTTCTATAGATTCTCTATTCTCAGGTCTGACATATTTTCATGGAGAATTATGAAATCAACACACTTTCACTGATTTTTTTGTAGATGAATTTTTTTCCCTGCTGATCAGATTGATATTTAGAAGAGAAAGGCAATATCCCCGAAGAGAATGCAATGAATGTGCGATGATCTAATAATGCTCCATAATAAACCAGAGAGCGGAATCATACATAATAACAATTATCATCACAGAAAAAAAAAGGTACCACAATCCGTTCGACGATCTAATAGAGAAATAAAACTACACGGAATGTTTCAGTTTCACATCAATATTTATTAATGAATTCAATGATTTCAAATCAGGAAAAAACATTTCAGGTTACTTGAATCAAATGAAGTTATTTATTATCCTTTCCTCAAAATAACCTACGCACTTTCCATACCCAACAAGTACCAGTAAGAAAAGGCGATAATGCCACGGAGACGCATGGAGCTAATGAGAGAAAAATTGGATGAAATGACGATAACAGGAACCGGAAAACCAAACTTAGACAGGAATATATATATATATATATATATATATATATATATATAAATATTTTTAGTTGAATGTTTCAGACATATATATATATATATATATATATATATATATATATATATATATATATATATATATATATATAAATTGCCTTCTGCCTATGAGTGTTGATATCAGTTATATATATATATATATATATATATATATATATATATTGATGCATGTTTCATTAAATAATATAGACAAGTTTTGTCTATTTATTTTAAGTTCCTTTCATATTGTCTGATAAGCTTAATAACATTATCATTGAAAGACGAAAAGGCAATCACCATATTGATACATGTTTCAATCCTATCTAAACTTTCGGATGAAATAAGCCATTATCAAAGATGACAATTACATTTCAATATATCAACCAATACACGGACGAAGCAATACCGATAATCTATTTTGTTGCATGAAAAACAACGACAAACTCATGTATACGAGACGTGGAAGCGAAAATCGCATCGCAGCTCGTGTCGCCACACATGACCACCCGAGAGTGAAAACGAGAAGTATTAAGTTTGGGAAGCCGTTGATATAAACCAAGCGCTTCTGTTATCAATTATAGGCATTTAAGAATAGTTGTGGAGATTTCGTAGTTTATTTTGTTCAGGTTAGGTTTCAACTGTTATATATATATATATATATATATATATATATATATATATATATATATATATATATATATTTGTAAAACAAACATGAACCGGGCATCACCGAATAGTCTTGAAATTAAGGTGGCTTGTGTAGATACTCCTACCAATCATCACGAATATTGATGATGCTCTCAGGGCTTGTTAGGGAAGGGCAGCATAGGTCAGTTGCCCATAGGAGGAAAGTAACCGGGCTTTGCGATTTGACGAGCAGCCCTGGTGTTAATAGAATAGTTAGGTGTGGGTGAGATGATTGATGACCCGAAGATTTGACTCCTGGGCCAAGGGTAGGCCTTTTACAGTTCTGTCTACGTTATTACTGTCTTTTATATTGATTTTTAGTCCGCTTATCTTTACTTTTCCATGCGCTTAAGTGAAAACCTTTTTGGACGGAATTTGCTTTAAGTAGAATATTACAGAAGAAGGTGAACTACAAATGAAGAAAATATATGTGCCCCAATACAAACCCAGTTGATACATAGTTTTTTGTCAATGCGTGTCTATGTTTGATAGTATCTACTGGTCTATAAAATTATGTGTCTCAAATAATTAATGTGTATGTTTAATAATCCTGATAATAGATTAGATAAGCGGAGTTCTATTGGATTCCGCATGTCACTCTCTAATTGGAATATCAGTTCACATTGGCGTTTTCTTTTTTTCTTTTTTAGATATAAACGCGTAGTTTAATCTAAGAAATTATCTTCAATATCAGCCACGGGAAATCAATTGAGATAACTACAAATATTGACAACTGGGCTCTAGGGCCGGTCAGAGATAATTGCCTTCTAATTTATTTTTCATCACATTTAATGCTAAATTTATGCGTATGACTTAAATAAATGATATTTGTTTTTCTTTTATCTTTTTTTAATCAATACATCCCAA